CTCTATCCCTCTTCTATCCGCCTCCCACTCTCTCCCTATTTATTTCAAAACCCCCTTCCCCTCCCCCTTTTCTGATGAAGGGTCTAGGCCCGAAACGTCAGCCTCTCTGCTCCTATGATGCTGCTTGGCCTGCTGTGTTCATCCAGCCCTGCACCTTGTTGTCTCGGATTCTCCAGCATCTGCAGTTCCTACAATCTCTGATTCGACATCAGCTTTCCTGCTCCTCTGATGCTGCCTGGCCTGCTGTGTTCCTTCAGCTCCACACTGTGTTATCTCGGACTCCAGCATCTGCAATTCTTACTATCTCTATTCAACACACTGTAGTTTATACCACTCTGTCAGTAAACGCGAGGCCTGCTCTGCTAACTCATCGGTCACGGCAGCTTCAGAATTTGAATTCAATTTTTTTAAAAAAACGGAATTAAAAGAAACTGGTGTCAGTAAATATATGAAGCTGTCGGATTGAAGACACGGACGAACAACGGAAGTTCTGAGGAAGGGTCACCGGACCCGAAACGTTAACTCTGTTTTTTCCTTCACAGATGCTGCCAGACCCGCTCAGCTTCTCCGGCAACTTTGTTTTTGTTCCTGAAAACGGGAGGTACGGTTATCCAATTTGCAAATGACACAGAAATTGAGATATGAAGAGGGCGTAAGTAAGTTACAAATAGGTCAAAGTGACTGGCCAAAGATCTGACAAATGTAGTGTAATTTAGGAAAGCTGAAATTATCCATCTTGGCAGGAAGATTTTTTTAAAAGCCTATGAGCTAACTGGTGATACATTGTCAAGTCCTGAGGTGCAGAGGGGTCTGGGCGTTGTAATGCATGATGGCAAAAGGTTTGTATGCAGGTACAGCAAATAGTCAGGAAAGCTGATAGAGTGTTGCCATTTATTACAAGGTGAACTGAATACAAAAAGGTGGGGAGGTAATGTTTCGGTTACATGGGGCACAATGAGACAATATCTGCAGTATGGTGTACAGCATTGGTTACCTTATTTAAGTAAGAATGTGAATATGTGAGAAGGTTTACCAGACTAATACCTGGAATGGGCAGGTTGTCTCATTAGGAAAGGTTAGACAGACTAAGCTTGTATCCACTGGAATTTGGAAAAGTAGGAGGTGTCTTGATTGAAACAAAAGATCCTGAGATGTTTTGACAGGGTAGATATGGAAAGGGTCCCTCCCTCTGTGGGAGAATCTGGAACTAATCAGCATTGCTTAAAAATAAAGGTTGCCCATTTGAAATGGAGAAAAGGTAAATTATTTTCTCACAAAAGGTTGTGAGTCTATTGAACTCTCATCCTGAAAAAGCTTTGTAAACAGAATATTTGAATATTTCTAAAACAGCCTACAATATTGTTGAGGTGTGTACATTGGCTGTATGAGGAGTTCTTCAGATAGAGTGAATAACATCCCTAGACACTGAGACAGAAGTTCCTGGTTTGAGAATCAACCCCAGACTTGATGACCAAGGGAGGTACATTTATAATGTGGCCAAACAGGTTGAGTATCAACCTGCAACCCTTCCAACACACGCCAATGGTCTGTAGTCATGCAGAAGAGAGCCCTCGTCAGCCATTTAATTAAAAGAGCATTGGGGTCTCTATCACTATCCTTATCTTATGACTGCAACATGCATGTAAAAGTATATGTGCATAGTAACTCTGACTCCCTGAGTAAACAATAGCCCACCACCACTTTGGTTGTACTCCTCAGTGAGGAGCTGTTGAACCCACAGCAGCAACCTCACCAAGAGAAAACCAAACTTTAATCTAGTAAATTTTTTGTAGATTTAATTAGAAAAACTGCATTGTGAATCTTGATGCAGCAATAATTGAGTCAAATGATTGCTATTTTGCTATCGCTGTTGTCGAGATTCCTGGACCCATCATACTTCCAACATTGTCCACCATCAACATTATCCAGCTTTCACAAATGCATTGAGAATGATCAGTTCACCTTCAACACAACCTCTGTCATCCACTGTTATTAATCCCTCAGACTTGTCTGATATCTATTACTGAAAGAACAGAACTTTCCTGCAGAATTAACTACTGAGAAAGATTGAAGTGATTGACTTTGGTATCCATCTAAAACCCTCTTCTTGGCAAAAGTTTGAAGGTCAACTAAACAGTTTGCAATGTTGGTGTTATATTTGACTTCAGATACATTTCCAATCATGTATCCATAACATCACCAAGACTGTCTATTTGTGTAACATCACCTAGTTTCATATTTGCCTCAGCTCATCAGCTACTATGCATTTACTGTTTCTCAGCATAACTAGTAAAGTGGACTCTTGGCTAGCCTCTGACATTCTACTCGTAAACTTGAAGTAGTTAACTTGACCGCAAGTTAGGTGGTGAAGGATGAAACTAGCAACCAAGTCATTTCTTTATGACAGATATATTTACAGAGTGCAACATTGCATATACCTGTCTATTAGCAGTGTTCCCTCAGTTTCTATTCACAAGTGCTTGAGGTACTTAATTAGAACATCCTCTGCACGTGCATCAAGGAATAACTTTCTATATCTCATATAACCCACCACAGTATAAGACAACACTCAT